CCCCTTAGGGGCTATAGCTATAGCCAGGCTATTTATATATCTAGCTATATAAATAGCTCCTATTATTAGAGTTTTTAAAGTATTAATACCTATACCCAGGCTGAAAGTATTTAATTTTAACTTTATCTTATAGTATTAAAGGTTCAGATATAGACTGCTAATTATATTCTTAGAAAAATTATATAATCTAGTTATATATTATCTGATCTTAGGATATACTCTTATTTATAGTAAAACTAATAAAAAAAATATATATTTCTTAATAAATATAATATTAGCTATAACTATCTGAGTTTTTTATTCTAGAAAAGCTAACTTCTTAGATAAGATTTTACTTATTCTAGTAATATACTCTGTATTACTACTTTACTTTATCTTTTTATTTAAGCTATTAATTTCTCTATAGATTCTATCTATTACTAAAAGAAGTAACTTAGTATAACTCTTAATATATATTATTAGCTGAATAACTCTAAGTATAGCTATAGTTATATTATTAAGTTCTGATTTAGGATTTTCTTAATTATTATTATTCTTATATAGATATTCTCTAATACTATTAGTTATTATTCTAAATACCTAGGGTATAACTGTTAGAGTAACTATTCAGGCTGCTAGATCGAACTACTATACTAGTATAGGTATTAGTAGTATATCTATTTATTTACTATAAGTCTTAATCTATATAAAGCAGTTCTAAAGTATTACTTATTCTTCTTCTAGATAGCTTATTTTAAACTTAATAAGAAGTATAAGGAGTAGAAGAGAATATAAAGTAAAGATTAAAGCTTATTCTAGCTATATATAAATATAGGCCTATTACTAGCTAGTATAACTTTATAAAAGTATTATAATAGTATTTATTTTTAGTTATTATAATATTAATATATATATATTTAGATTAATAACTCTATATAAGAATAGATATATTATAAACTCTAGTAGTATATTAGTATTATAAGTTATTATTATATTAGAGATATTATAATACTATTCTATCTACTGTTTATAAAGATTAAAATACTCTATATTATACTTTTAGAAATAAGTTTCTTCTAATATTAGGAGGTTAGATATAGCTAAAGATAGTATAAAATTTTCCTCTATCTTAGGATAAAGTATAACTAGAAAGAGTAAAAACTTAAGAGAAAATATACTTTAATAAGTAATAAATACTAGTAGAATTTTCTAACTAATAATACTATAACTAAAGACTAGATAGATTTATAATTATAATATTAATATTAGTTAAAGAGAAGGAATTATAACTAAACTATATAGTTAAAGCTAATAATTATAATTAATTATATATATATTTAGTATTTAGTTAAAAACTTCTATATTTAATTAATTAAATAAGATTATCTAGATTATTATATAAGCTAAACTAGTTATAGAATAATAAATTAAAAATTATAATTTTAAAAATAAAAAATAATTTAAAAATAAAAAATAGTTTTTTTTATTTTAAAAATAGTAAAAATTTATTACTTAAGTAATATATAGTAAATTACTCTAACTAATTATAGAAATTATATATATTCTTATATCTTTCTAGATATATTATAATAAATTTTATAAGCTTAAAGCTATCTTAATAATATATTAATCTAATAAAAAGTATATATTAAATTAGATTAAATTATATAAAAGAAAGAGAATTTTAATTAATTAAATTAAAATACTATAATATTTTTTCTCTAATTATTTTTTTATTAGTAATATTTTTCTCTATTATAACTTCTTATCTACTTACTTATTTTTAATATTTTATTTCTTTTTATTATACTCTTTTATTTTAAACTTTTATTTAATTAGCTTATAATAGAATAATTAGTATTAAAACTATCTTTTTATATATTTAATTAATTAATTTAAAAACTTATTCTTAAGTATTAGAATCTATAAGCCTAA